GCAAGACAGCACCGAGTCACCTGGCATAATAGGATCATCAGGCTGGATCAGTTCATCAGGCTGGGTAGAGACATCATGCTGGGTAAAGACATCAGGCTGGGTAGAGACATCAGGCTGAATTGTGGGTGCCGAGGCACCAGGCTGAACCATGGAAGGCGGGTTCTCAGACGGCAGGCTAACCGGTTTGGATACTGGCAGGATGGTATTGGTTGGAAAGAATTTTCGCTTTTTTCTGGTTTTAGTTACTGGAGCACTGTAAGTAAACGCAGGTCTGTAAACGAATGGAGCAGCTGAAGACAGAGAAGAGCTGGAGGATGGAACAGAGGAGGGAGCAGTTGCTACAGAGGACTTCTTTACAGGGTTAAAGAAAGGATAGGTGCAGCGAGTGGGAGCAGGGGACTGGTATGTGGTAGTTAGCAGAGTATACTGGGCCGTCACTGGGGGTGCTGTCGGGGATGCAGGAAGAGTGCCTTGAGCAGAGGAATGATGTTGCAAGCCGAGGCTGGGTGCAACAAGTCTGACCATGTCTGCAGTATGGGTTGAACAAAGCTCCGCTTACACAAAGCCTGTCTGGTCAAAGACTGCACTGCGTTTATACAATCTCTTAGTACCTGTTGTAAACATGCAGAATAACGCTCCAGAAAGAAATCCACATCATCCTCTAATAACCATACCAGGGACTCTACCTGGTCGGCACTAAATGGCGGCAAAAATTCATCCCTGCATTCGGGGGTACCAGATGAAACCAACTCAGCACAAACCTGAATCAATGGCTGCACCTCAGAGAATTCTGTGCCCTGATCTACTAGGCAATGAGCGATCCTTATACACTCTAGTAGTTGATCCCTGGGATACTCCTTCAGAGTCTGATAAGCATAATCCCTGTCATCAAACACTAGCAGAGATAAATACACAACCTCATCAAGATCCATCCTTCCCAGCAACAATAAGCCAAGATGGCTTCCCTGTGCAGCCACTTCTGGTCAGGATGGGCCTTGGTGTAATGTCAGGGATGCGGGTGTGACCAGAAGTGTGTGGACTGACACAGGGAAATGTAGGCTTCAGATATAGTAAATAATATAATTTATTGAGACTAACAATACAAATATAAACGCAGTGCACCAAACCCCAAGCTAACACAAATACATACAACAAGGTGAAACAAACCCAAACCTAAACTGATACACAGGTACATACACATATAGAGCACAACGTAGTCAGGCAGGCCAGGTCGATAACTATCGGGCAGGTAGGTACAGGAGGAGCAGGCGAGAGAATGGTCAGGGTCACAAGCCAGGGATCAAACAGGAGAAGTCAGCAGAGGTCAGGATCAGGCAGGGTCGCAACAAGTCAGGCAGAAACAGGAACAGGAACAGGAATGCAGGTTACAAGATACAGGGGCAATGGAAAAACACACACCAAGGCCCTGACTGTGAGTCTGGCCATTCCTTAAAATACAACCCCTGCAATCAGCTTCAGGTGTTTTGGCTGACTGCAGGGGTGAGTCTCTGATTGCTGAGAGCACCCGCTGGCCAGCCCTGGTACTGCAGCCCACAAGGCAGGTGAGTCCCACCGTTATTGGCAAGTCCATTCCTGACAGTGAGTCTCACCACCTTCTCCCCTCCGGCCTCGGCCAGGGAGGGAGAAGATAGTAGCAGGGGTGAGGAAAGCTGCACCTCTCATCCCACGGCGTCAGGATGAGAGGTGGAGGGGGGGTCACTGGACCACAGGGGTGAATCGGGCTGGCGACAGAGGACACAGTAAGGGGTCCCTATACCGTGACAGGTGGGGATGCTTATGATGTCATTGACCTAATATGTCCAGATAGCTTATTAGGCCAATGTCATTGACCTACTATAGCCATGTGGCCAAATTAGATCAATGATTTCAGGAGTATCCCTGCCCTATGTGTATATGCAGATAGGGGTGGGGAATGTCCTGAGCACAGCGTATTGGCCTATGAGTGAAAGCTTACTTCTGGGTTTGGCCAAACCCAAGCTCATCACTACTATTGAAGTGAAGTTTTGATAAAAGTATGATACATTTTTTATTTTGATGTGTTCCTTGTTGAGATGTCTTTAATTTGCAAACCAAGTGATGGGGGTGGGGTCCTGCACCTAATGTCACTTTTCAAAAACAGCGTGGCTGTATAGGGCTCTTCCCAAGCAGTCACTTAATGCATTTACACATTCCTGTGAATGAATAAACCACTAATAACGTCTTCCATAGCAGCAAACAGACTTTTAGTTTCTGAGGGCTGCGGGGGTGCTGATGACCACTGGCATTTCCTCCATCTTTTAAACAGAAAGCCCATACAGAGGTATGGGCTGAAAGCTGGAGGTCATATCTGCAGAAGACAAGATTGCACCAGTGATCTACTGATTTCAGGTGCAATGATTTCCAGGCTGATACAAAAAAATATATAATAAATGAACATTGTTTTTCTGCAAATACATGTGCATTTATTATTTTATCTGCAAAGGTAACCTTAGCCTTTAAGTATTAAGGTATTTACTATAGTGTAAAAATGGGTTTTTGATCATAGCTATCAACTGCCCCCACTTTCTAATTCTACAGAAAACTGTTTAAAGGCTTTTGAATCTCTGATAGCTACCATAACTCCTTTCCTTTTTTTTTTATCAGCCTACTGTATGTGAAGTAGCATTGGAGAAATGTATTATTTCCAATTAACGATCAGAACCTGGCACTCCTGATTTCGGGTCACATGATCATTGTGATAGCCTCTGATTGGCTATCACAATGATCAGTCACTGTGAAGCCGGCCCCCTTGTTTTTTTTCACATTGTATCTCTTTCTCCCCTTGCATAGAGGAAAAAAACAACTGTGTATAAAAAAAAACATTAAATAAATATTAAAAAAAAGAAAAGAAAAAAGAAAGAAAAAATACCTAGATCAAGGTTTGATCTAGTTCAGTGCCAGGGTTAGTGTTTGGGTCAAGGTCAGGATTAAAGGTCAAGGTCAAAGGTCAGGATTTTTTTTTTTAATTGGTATCGGTGTGTTTTAGGTAAAAAAAAAAAAACGAAAAACAAAATGTACACTATATGGTATCACTGCGATCGTCAAGAGCTGGAAAATATATTTTGGGTTGTTATTTGGTGGTAGGTTATGATAGTAACAAGAAACACACAGCTAAATTTAAGTAAAACATTTTTTTTTTACCATTTTGGGCCAGTTTTCCTTTGATAATAAATTAAAACAGGAGATAACCATTACCATTTACCACCAAATGAAACCACAATTTGTCCTGAAAAAAAAAACAAGGTATAATTCACCTGGATGTACAAAGTTGTTGTGATGATAAGTATGGTTTTACTAACACATGTCGAAGGTGCAAAATTGTGCTTAGGCGTTAAGATTTGTTTTACCCTTAGGCGTGAAGGGGTTAAACTGGCTGTTTAGTTGTATAACATTTAATGATGTAAGATTTAAAGAAAACCGTAAGTAAAGTATGCTTGGAGTAGCTTAATCCAAATTCTTTGTTTTTGGTATTACAGAAATGCAAACTACAATATAAAGCAAAATTATATAAAGAGCAAATAAAATGCATTTAGAGGACACGTGTCACATATTACATATCCAACTATATGGAGAAGACAGGAAATCAATTGTAAAGTTATTTGTGCTCCAACATGAGAAACAATTACCTCCAACCTGAAACAAGTAAACAATATAACTGTACAGGATGAACAGAGACATCCAAACAGCATGTCATACACCTGAAGTCAGAGGGTATAAGATTATGTATGTGAAGGTTTTCTAATTGTCTTGCTTTTTCTATTAGTTATTTATTTATTTCAGGTACTTATATAGTGCTGTCAATTTACGCAGCACTTTACACATACAGTATATATATATTGAACATTCACATCAGTCCCTAACCCTCAAGGGGTGTACAATCTAAGGTCCCTAACTCACATTCATACATACACATATCAGGGCCAATTTAGACAGGATCCAATTAACCTACCAGCATGTCTTTGGAGTGTGAGAGGAAACCAGAGCACCTGGAGAAAACCCATGCAAGCACAGGGAGAACATGCAAACTCCATGCAGGAGGTGCCATGGTTGGGAATTGAACCCATGACCCATTTACTGCAAGAAAGATGTGCTAACCACTAAGCCACTGTGCCGCATTGAGCTAGATGGACTTTTCCAGCCCAACTATAGTACGTAACCAGACAGACAGATTCATATTTCATGCTGATATTTTAATTTTAATGGCTGTGGATCTCAGACAACATATTAGGTTAGAATTAATCAGGTATTATTAATTAATGATGAACCAAATGTGCTTTAGTTTGGTTCAAGGCAGGTTCGCTGAACATTTCTGAAAATCAAGGACTGAATATTAACCCCATTGGAGTAATTTGGAGGCAGATGTTAAAAAAACAGTAAAGGCCTTTTTTTTGATTAATAGGCAAGGGATTGTCTAATAAATGAATAAATAAAACATTGTTTACATTTCCAGTAAATTACAGACACCCAGACAAATCCTAGCCCATGCAGTACACCCAGGGATGAGGTTTTTCTACTGTTTGTTGCTGTGATTTGATGTACAACAAGTGAGTAGGCATTTTATATATTAACCACTAGCCTACAGAGCACTTATACCCCCTTCCTGCCCAGGCCAATTTCCAGCTTTCAGCGCTGTCACACTTTGAATGACAATTGCGCGGTCATGCAACATTGTACCCATATGAAATTTTTATCATTTCTTTTGTGACAGATATAGCTTTCTTTTGGTTCTATTTATTTACCTCCGGGATTTTTATTTTTTCTTAAACAAACCAAAAACCACTGAAATTTTTTTTAAAAAAAAATGTTTTTTTTCTTAGTTTTTGTTATACAATTTTGTAAATAAGTGATTTTTTTCTCCTTCACTGATGTGCGATAATGAGACTGCAGTGATGGGCACTGATAGGCTGCACTGATGGGCACTGATGAGGAGGCACTGGTAGGTTGCACTGATTGGCATTGACAGGCATCACTGATGGGCACTGAAAGGCAACACTGATACATGACACTGATACATGACACTGATAGGCGGCACTGATAGGCGGCACTGATAGGCAGCAATGATTGGCACTGATAGGCGGCACTGACTGGCACTGTTAGGCAGCACTGACTGGCACTGTTAGGCGGCACTGACTGGCACTGATAGGCGGCACTGACTGGCACTGACAGGCGACACTGACTGGCACTGATAGGTGGCACTGATTGGCAGCACTGATAGGTGGCATGGATTGGCATTGATAGGTGGCACTGACTGGCACTGATGGGTGACATTGAAAGGCAGCGCAGATGGGCACTGATATGTGGCATTGATGTGCACTGATGGGCACTGGCACGTGGCACTGATACTAATGAGCACTGACAGGTGGCACTTCTGGGGCCACACTGATCATCAGGGCACACTGATCATCAGTACCCTGATGATCAGTGTACATGTCCCCTCCGCGGAAAGCCGATTACAGGCTCTGCTCTCCTCACAAGCTGTCAGAGGAGAGAAATGCCGATAACCGGCATTTCCGTGTTTACATGTGATCAGCTGTGATTGGACACAGCTGATCACATGACTGAGCCGACATCTTCGGCTCTTTCCGTGATCCGCTGTGTCTGAGAGACACAGCGCACCGGCAATCGCTGCGCGCTCCCTGAGCTGCGCATGCGCAGTGAGAATGGTAGGACGTCATATGACATCCTACCAGAATGAGAGAACCACCTTGCGCCCTTCATTGTACTATAGGACGGGCGGAAGGTGGTTAAAGAGTCTAATTTACCCAGTAATGCTGCACTATGAAGGATCTTTCTTTCACTTACCATGGTTTATGGTGAGTGATATATAGAGCTGGTGTACCTATCCTGAGAGGTCTGGAGTACAGATCACTTACCTGGGAGGGGAACCACAGGAGGAGTACAGAGGATACCAGCCAGTACTGGAGAAGGATCTAGGAGTGATCCTGTAGGCTTAGTGGCCCTTTTGGGTTGCAGAGTGGAGGTGAGGGGGCATTTTACCCACGGAGGATAAGTGTGCTGACACCAACACAGAAATCATCACTTTGATCACTCTGCATGAATTATTGTTGTTTGGAGCACTATTTGGAGGATTTATGAACTCTATTTAATTTTGAGTGGAATATATTTTGAAATCCTATATTTGAGTTGATTTGGTCACTTTTATCACTGGTCACTTGAAGTGTGCTTTATTTATTTATTTATTTTCATGAGGGGTTTGTTTATATGTAATGATATACATATTGATTGGCTAATAAGGCACAGGTTCTGAAATTTTTGCCAGGACCTCAGGTCACATAGTATTTGAACACTCATATTGGAGCACATTATGGCACTTTATTTATTTATATAGAAGTTTGCATCACTTTTTTATTAGTTATATATGTTGATTATCAATATGATATGATGTTGGTTTAATAGCGCAGCACTATATCACTACTTATTTTATTTCACTGATTGAGGTTTCAGTTTTGAGTGTGAGCTGCTTTAAATTATAGGTATACTCCATATAAGTGCAGGAGGAATTTGTATAATTTACATCTGTACATTGTTGGGCAAACTACAACAGCAGACCAGACATATACAAAAAACATTGTTTACATTTCCAGTAAATTACAGCTCTGGGCTACTTCTTTCTGTTTGTAAACAAAGTGGCCAAGGATTCCCTTCATCTATTCCAGACCCTTATCCTGGATGAGGGTCTGGGACAGATGCAAATGGGAGACCCCACAAAAAATATACACCAGACTCTTATCCTTGATGGGGTCTACTATGGATGTAAAAAAGAAAAAAAAAAGTGTGCGGTTCCAGCTACACTGCCATACCAGACCCATCTAGCGTGCTCTGAATTTTAAAGGGGGAACCCACCAAAATCCTTGCCAGAATCCTATTGAAACATGCAATGTGGCTAACCAGGAAAAGTGAGGCACAAGTGTGTGGCCTTCTCCTGAACCATACCAATACACATGTCCACAAAATATGGATGGTACCTTGTAAAGGAGAATGCTCCTGGCAAAGCACTTTTTCCTCTTCTCTATAACTCTGGCTCAGTGGTTATGGTGTGTGTGTGTGTGTGTGTGGAAATCTTATTGAAATCTGGGAAGCCCTTGATTTAAGTACCCTTACTCATTCACAAAAAAAGTAACATAGACACCTTGACAGGTCTTTTTTTAAAAAGTAAAACAAACTGTCCCATGTTGTATATCCATTGTTAATCACATTATTTAGCAATGCAGATCCATTTCAATCATACTTAATGATGCTGAAATAAACACATTGACACTCTCTGACTACCATGTGCTAATAATGGCTTTTTATTAAATGTAAACAATAGGACATGCATAATGGATGACATCATTGATTAGCCACTTAACCACCAGAAGGTTTTACCCCTTTCATTACCATGGTGTTTTTTTGCTGTTCAGCACTGTGCTACTTTAACTAGCAATTGCTTGGTCATGCAACTCTGTAAGCAACTGAAATGTTTTTTAATTTTTTTTGCACAAAGAGAGCTTTTGTTTGGTGGTATTTAACTGGTTGCCGACCAGCCACAGTGTTTTTACTGAGGCAGGGCGGCACCGCTGCAAAGAATGCCGTTTTTAAATGTCGGTCTGCAAAACAGGTAGGGGGCACGGGTGAGGCGCGTGCCCGCACTACCCGTCCCGCCGATCGCGGCAGCAGGGGTCAATCACCGGGTCCCAGTGGGTCATTACCCGCCGGGTCCCGGCGATTACCGGCAATCACTGACTGAGAGCACGACTGCAGTGTTTACACTGCAAGTCTGCTCCCTGTCAGTTCCGAGCACACGCTGATCCTGAGAGAAGAGTTTATCTCTCCGGATCAGCGTCCCGTGAAGCACACACCCCCGCCCCCTAGTAAAACACTCCCCTCACACAGTTAACCCTTTCATTACCTAAAAAAAAAGTTAACCCCTTCCTCCCCAGTGCCATTAGTACAGTGTCAGTGTTTTTTTTGCACTGATCACTGTATTGGTGTCACTGGGGATGTCAGTGACCCCAAGTCAGTTCCCCCCCTAGTGTCAGAATGTGCGCCGCCATAAGTCACCGATTGCCGCCATAAGTCACTGATCGCCGTAGTATAAAAAATGTAAAACTCCAGTATCTATACCGCCATTTGTAAATGCTATAACTTTCACGTAAACCAATTAATTTACACATATCAGGATTTTTTTTAGAAAAGACATGTCGCAGAATATATTTTGGCCAAAATATATGACAAAATTAGATTTTTTGATTTTTTTTACTGGACATGTTTTATAGCAAAAAATCGAAAATGTTGTTTTTTTTCTCATAATTGTCAGCCTTTTTTTTTATAGCGCAAAAAATAAAAAACGCACAGGTGATCAAATACCACTGAAAGAAAGCTAAATTTGTGGGAAAAAGGGACGTAAATTTAATTTGGGTGCAGTGTTGCATGACCGCGCAATTGTCAGTTAAAGTAATGCAGCGCCGTAACACAAACCGCTTCTGTAACCGCTTCCTGACTGCCCTATAGCAGAAATACTGCTACAGGGCGGCATGGGTGCGCAAAATCACATATATACAGGTGAAACTTGAAAAATTAGAATATCATGCAAAAGTTCATTTATTTTCAGTAATGCAACTTTAAAGGTGAAGCTAATATATGAGATAGACTCATTACATGCAAAGCAAGATAGTTCAAGCCGTGATTTGTCATAATTGTGATGATTATAGCTTACAGCTCATGAAAATCCCAAATCCACAATCTCAGAAAATTAGAATATTACATGCAATCAATAAAACAAGGATTGTACATAGAACAATATCGGACCTCTGAAAAGTATAAGCATGTATATGTACTCAGTACTTGGTTTGGACCTTTTTGCAGCAATTACTGCCTCAATGCGGTGTGGCATGGAAGCTATCAGCCTGTGGCCCTGCTGAGGTGTTATGGAAAACCAGGATGCTTCAATAGCGGCCTTCAGCTCTTCTGCATTGTTCGGTCTCATGTCTCTCATCTTTCTCTTGGCAATGCCCCATAGATTCTCTATGGGGTTCAGGTAAGGCAAGTTTGCTGGCCAATCAAGCACAGTAATCCCATGGTCAATGAACCAGGTTTTGGTGCTTTTGGCAGTGTGGGCAGGTGCCAAGTCCTGCTGGAAAATGAAGTCAGCATCCCCATAAAGCTTGTCTGCAGAAGGAAGCATGAAGTGCTCCATAATCTCCTGGTAGATGGCTGTGTTGACCCTGGACTTAATGAAGCACAGTGGACCAACACCAGCAAATGACATGGCTCCCCAAATCAACACAGACTGTGGAAACTTCACACTGGACTTCAAGCATCTTGCAGTGTGTGCCTCTCCATTCTTCCTCCATACTCTGGGTCCTTGGTTTCCAAATGAGATACAAAAGTTGCTCTCATCAGAAAAGAGGACTTTGGACCACTGAGCAACAGACCAGGTCTGTTTTTCTTTAGCCCAGGTAAGACGCTTCTGACGTTGTTTGTTGTTCAGGAGCGGCTTGACAAGAGGAATACGACATTTCAAGCCCATGTCCAGGATCCGTCTGTGTGTGGTGGCTCTTGATGCACTGACTCCAGCCTCAGTCCACTTCTTGTGAAAGTCCTCAACACTTTTGAATGGCCTTTTCCTGACAATCCTCTCCAGGCTGCAGTCATCCCTGCTGCTTTTGCACCTTTTTCTTCTACACTTTGCCCTTTCACATAACTTTCTATTAATGTGCTTTGATACAGCACTTTGGGAACATTCAACGTCTTTTGCAATTACCTTTTGAGGCTTTCCCTCCTTATGGAGGGTGTCAATGATGGTTTTCTGCACAACTGTAAGGTTAACAGTATTTTCCATGATTGTGATTCCTACTGAACCAGACTGAGAGACCATTTAAAGGCTCAGGAACCCTTTGCAGGTGTTATGGCTTAATTAGCTGATTAGAGTGGGACACTTTGAGCCTAGAATATTGCACCTTTTCACAATATTCTAATTTTCTGAGATTGTGGATTTGGGCTTTTCATGAGCTGTATGCCATAATCATCACAATTATGACAAATCATGGCTTGAACTATCTTGCTTTGCATGTAATGAGTCTATCTCATATATTAGTTTCACCTTTTAAGTTGCATTACTGAAATAAACAAACTTTTGCATGATATTCTAATTTTTCAAGTTTCACCTGTATATGAGTGATTTTGCGCACCCATGCCGCCCTGTAGCAGTATTTCTGCTATAGGGCAGTCAGGAAGCGGTTACAGAAGCGGTTTGTGTTACGGCGCTGCATTACTTTAACTGAATAACTGCATGAAATGAGTCTATCTCGTATATTAGTTTCACCTTTTAAGGTGCATTACTGAAATAAATGAACTTTTGCACGATATTCTAATTTTTTGAGTTTCACCTGTATATATACATGAATCATGCTCCCGTGGTTGTCACGCCCCTCCCAGATAGCGTCAGATTGCTCCTCAGTACACCAGTCATCACATTTAACCCCTTGATTGCCAGGAACACGCTCATGCACCATAAACCTCCATTGTTAGTATAGTGTCTTTTTTTTTGG